TTATTTTGATCACCTCATTGTGGGCAGGGTGTAATTTGTCTGTGATCTTTAGTGTCTGAATTAGGTCCAAGTCAATAGGAAGACAGTTATGTTTAATGATGTTGCAGTTTGATAAGGCACTATATGTCTGCATATATCTGCACATTCTCTGTCAGTCTTCACAATACAATTTTATGAGGATGGTGGCATGTGATAGCAGCACATTTGAAAATTACTTCTTCTGAGCTATGAATGCCCAATAAAACAGAAACTAGGGGATAGAAGTGATGGAGAGCAGGATTTTTATTTTTGTGCACTTTGATTTACCCACATAGACAGTACACCTGTATATTCGTTATTTGTTTTAATATAAGTAACTGACTTTTCACTCTTTTTCTTGTACCTTTTTTTCTCCTTTCTGACACATTATATGAAGTAAGGCAGGTGGATTCATACCATTTTCTGTGAAATAAAATGTAAATTTTGTTATGCAAATGAACCATAAGAACTGAATTAGACTGAGCAGAGGTGGTAAATCAACAATTATACTGTGTATGGTTTTTTGTTTGTTTTTAATATAGCAAAATTCCATCTCAAAAGCTCAGATAAAATCCAACAAATCTGCAACACATTTTGGATGGTAATGTAATTCACCACTAGAAGAGAAATCCTAGGGCTGCTGTGCTTTGTTGAATCTGGTATACATTTAACCATCACCTTTGATGTAGTCTTTAAGCTAAGGATGCTGAGCAAAGTGCTTTGAGTCATCTGGTAACACAATATATTAATTACTGCTTATAATAACTTCTATTTTTACATAGTTGTTGAGTATTTGTTCATGTTAAGCCAAATAAAGCCCTCGGTCTGTATTGATGATCATGATTAATATTTATGTTGCAGTTAAAAATGAATATGCTTTTAGCTTCACCAGCATTGAAGTCTTTCTGGATTATTTATAACATGAAACAAAAACAATAATTAAAGAAATTCACAAACTGAGCAAACGTGGTTCTTCAAATAAAATTTTAACCAAATTTTATCTGGCTGTAAAAATCCATTCTGTGATAGCCAACTCATGAATTGAGTAAAGATTGCTCTTCCTCCAGACCACCCTCAAAGGTTTCGGAATGTGGACTAGTATTTTCTAATATGCCTTACAAACACTCGGGATAAAGGAAATAAAAAAAAATAAAATTAACAAAAAAAAAATGTGAATGAGGAGAGCTGGCATGCACTTTCAGGAAGCTATGGGATTTGAGATTCAGCTGCAGCACCTGATGGCTCCTCACTAGTGAATGTTGTCATTGCCCAGTAAAGGTTAAATTTCTTCTAGGCAGGAGGTGATGCAAACAGAACCTTAGTCTAGAAGAATTACTGGTTAGCGGTAGACTGGTCTCATTTTTACATCCTTGATCCCACATTAAGCACGGCAAACCTTCAGGAAAGTTTTTTGAAGATGAGCCCTCAATTCAAACATCTTAAAATTGTTCCTACTTCTCTCACTGTTGCAAGAAGTATATATATAGGGGGTCCCTGCCATTTTCCCTAGGTTGATAAGATCTAGTAAGTACTCTAAGTCTGCTCAAACCATCTTGTTCTATTTCCTTTTTTTTCTTTTTTTTTTTTCTTGATTTCTGCCTCCAACCACATTTGAATTTGCAGTGGTTTTAAGTTTTAGCACTGCAGAGATTATTAATAATTGTTGGAGAACTTTAACAAGCATGCTTTTTATTTATTTATTTATTTATTTATTTATTTTCCCTGTTTCTAGATTCCTGTTTTAGTCTACTGGAAATGGTGTGTTTAGAAAAGAATGGTGGTATATTTATAGTCATCAGCAGTGTTACTAAATTGAACTGTGGAAGAAAACTGTCCATGAACAAGGCTATATTTGCATCTTTCCTGATTTATTTATTTATTTATTGTCTTCTGGACACTATTTAAGAAGACTCTTCCCTTTTCAAAAGTTATGTGTTTTCTTTTTAGTGGAGTGCTTTGTCTTACTTTTGACATGTACAAAAAACACTGTCAACTAAACAAATGCATTTCCTGCCCACATTACATCCCTAAATCAGTCAACTAATCAGATTCTACTGAAGTAGTATTGGTGCACTGAGTGGCAGAGTTGCTGTATAATGGGGAGCTGCTTTGCTTACACTGTAGTGTGGTTGAGCAAAATTTATTATGGAAGCATAATTACCAGGCTTTAGAATCTCTTCCAGAAGAAAATAGCACAAAAGAAGTCCAGAGTCTGTCTGGACAGGGTGTTTATTCTAGAGCCTTCCACTACTTCTTTTCCACAGCAGACTTTGAACTGAGGCAAAACCTCAATGTTTTTAAGCAGCTTATGTTGTGGTCAAAGATAAAGGCTTATTAACAGTTGTTAATCTCCCTTCTAAATCTCTTATAATATAGTGGTACTGTAACATTATTAAAATAGCTTCACATTTATTCTTTTCTGCTATATTTACTAAATTCACTTGATGTTATACAAATGTTATTAAATGTTACAGCAATAGTTTGCAGTCATTTTGTTTTCCACCTAGAGTGAGACATAAGGTTATAGATAATCATTCCTATGGCCAATATTGATTTAAGCATAGAAAGCCAAAGGGTATTGAGAATAAATACAATTTGTCATATGGTTTAAGACAGCTCCTAAAAATGTATTGATAATGAAATAGATAGTTATGATCCATATTATGGTTAGAAGATATTGAATACATTAATTATCTAGAATATACATATCAGCTGTTTAACTTCCTCATATTTTCAGTTAAAAAATACCAAAACAAAATATTTTTCATTGAAGATGAAATAGCTATACATTTAGTTATTATGGAAACAATGATTTAAAGTTAACTAGTTTACTAATAATATTCCTCTCAACAGAATCTCCCATTGAACTCACAATAGTGATGGAGAATTTATCCATAAAAAGAAAAGTGTTTTAACTGGAAAATAAAAATATGGCTTTTATATATTTTAGCAAATATAATATGATCAAATTTTTAAACAAGTAGAATTCTGAGAAATAAATGGAATTCTTATGTACAGAATATAATTTTTTTTTAATTATATGGTAATATATGAATTCTCTATACAAGATAAATTTGCAATGTAAAATATTTAAATGCACATAAAAAATGAGGAAATGTGCCTAATAAAAGAGATACTTGCAAAATCCTTATAGCATGTAACATTGTAAAAGATGTTTGTTGTAAAAGGGTTAAAAACAGATACATAGAATATTTTGCTAAAAACAATAATAACAGAAGAAGATAAATGTCATTTTCTGATGGTCAGACAGGTATGCTGTTTCCATTTTAATGTTGATGCCAGCTCAATAATATTTTTTATCACTTTCTAATCAAACCACTGAAAAGAATTCTGCATGCGATTGCCCTTAAAATGATGAAAAATTTACAGCTAATACAAAATGTAATTGCAGATTTGTTAAGGAGTATTTCTTGTTGTAAACATATTGCAAATATGTTTTTGAATTGCACGAGCAATCAACTGATTTCTAGAGGCAGTTTAAATGCTGTTTTTGGAAAAAGTTGAGGATGATAGACTTGCTGATCCCCTAGCTCTTTGACAGCAGTTCAGTAGGTGCACTTTAATAAGAATTATATGGACTTAAAAGTCAAGGCACTAAACACAAAATATTTTAAGAGATGGAATTTTAATTAGTCAGTTTCCCAGCACGTCAAAAATTAAATCTTTTGTCCAGTTGTCTATGTTTCAAGCTATGTCTACATTCTTGCTTCTTACCAAGGTAAATGGCAGACAGTTTATAGTCATTTTCGATTCTGGTACAAATAAAATATCTCTAACCCAAAGGACCTAAAGGAAGGATCCCTATGTCAGAACACTATTTTAATTTTAAAGAATAACAAAGGGCCTACAATTTGAACAGTATATATTTAGGGGAAAATGTACATATACAATAATAATTAAAAAGGAATGTATCCAGATCACAGAAAAAACATTTATCCAAAACTAATGGCTTTTGTGAGCCAGGCATTATTGGGAACCATCAGTAATAAATAAACCAAGATACTCTGCTCTCTTCCCTGAATCATAACATATGCATTATGGAATATACATCTCAGAAAATTTTAAAGTGGCTCATTAATTCCCTGATCCATTTCTGCATGCACTACTGATACTAAGGTGACCTTTCACAAATAAAGCTATACATAAGGCAGAGAGCCATCTCTTGTATCTGCAGGAGAAATACAATTTTTTGGGGAAACATTACCAAATGAAAAAATAAGCTTTCAGTTGCTTTTATGTCTTAGACTCAATAAGGGATAAAGACAACGCATTTATCCCATGAGTGAAAACCCCGAAGCAGTTATATGTGGTTGGCTTAAGGGAAATCTAAGAATCTCTATTTGACAATCTGGCCACTTTCCAAATGAGAAATCAATGACTCTGTATTCTGGGTAAAGAAAAGCCAGGATGGTTTATGACTTGTTCTACATATACTGTGGATCCAGCCAAGCTCTGAATAACACACAGTTGAAGACAGCAAGACAGCAACATCCCATGTCCAATGAGGCCTTCAGCAGCATAAGGTACATTCTGGCAGGACTCTGCACAGACAGTGGCTTGCTAGATTTTGGAATTCAGCCTGTAGAAAGACAAATATATGTAGCAGGAAAAAGAGAAGGAAACAATAGGGGTTTTATATGTCTAGAATAGCCAGCTAATTAGATGCAGGCTGGTTTTGTTTCTGGCAAAGACGCTTGCAGAAAACATGCAATGGGAAAAGTTAATTCTGCCTTCAGGACTAATCTTTAAAATACCTGTAGTAGTCTGAACAATCTAAAAATCCTATTTAGCTGACAAAAGCAATGCCTATTTACTTAATTATTAGTAAATAAGCAAATAAACCAGTAAAGAGGTTTTACATTATTTGCTATGTCAACGTTACATCACACAATCACACAGACACAAGGAGAAAGGAGGGCCACATACTCAGAATAATTCACTATGTTCAAACAGAAGTTATCTTTTTTTTTTTTTTTTGCTTTTCTCTTTCCATTTTTTGTTTTTATTTTTTTTTATTTTTTTTTATTTTTTTAAAAAAAAGGTTAATTAAGGTATTAAATTATAACAACCACAATCAGCAGGACATAGGACACAGTCATATTTTCTCAGCTTTTGTCATGTTTACAGCAACATGAAATGAAATTATTTACTCAGGCTCTTAAGAAAGACACACACACACACACACACAAAATAAAAGAAGAAGAAAAAAAAGGCCTTATATTCTTTAGATTATTTTCTCCACTTGTATACTCAGGCTGTGTTTTGATCTTTCATGTTGGGCTGACAGCCTTTGAGAACTTTTACCCTCATTTATAATGCTTTTGGTGAACTCACACCAGCGTACTGAACCAAACTATCCTTTATTCAGCTCCATATATCTGTGAGCAAATAACAGCCTGTAGGGATTCAGCACATCAGCTGCTTAAAAGATAAACCTACCCAGCTTGATGAAAACTCTTCACCACCTTCCTGTTGAGAGAAAACGGTTACACATTTCTAATAAATGAAGCAGGAACTGTCATTTTTTTGGCAAACTGATAACTAGCTGTAACAGCCGCAATGCCACAAGTTGCTTTTCCAAAGTAATTACCATCAGGCTCCCTGTGGTATGCAGTGTTTAACACATTTCTTCTGTGTTAATGAATGCAAAAGCAGGCAACACCACTATTAGTAATTGCTTTTTATTCATAGTCCTCATTTTCCAGATAGGTCACATTAAACACAGCCATTGAACAATAGCGTTTGAGATAATTCATACAATGTATGCTGCTTTTGTTTGTTTGTTTGTGTGGGGTTTTTTGTTTGTTTGTTTGCTTGCTTGTTTCTTGTATGTTTGTGTGTCATTCACCAGTCATTGGTGCAACTTTGAGCCATATGGGGAGACATGGGCTGATAAAAGTGAATGCCAACCTGTAGCACAACTGGGCCAGAGAAGTTAAAACCTTAATCAGGTTTCATTCAGTTATACTTCAACAAATCTTGATAGCCAAAACTTCCATTTGAATTAATGCAATAGTAATCATTGCCTCATGTCAAAAGAAAGTAGTTAAACAATAGTGGGTGTATAATATGCTAGGCTTCTGACTTCTTCACCTTAGCAATTTCCCTTCCATTAGGCAACAAACAGCTTAAAAGTTTGTTTGGGTGATGTACCTTGCTCCATTGTGAGCAATATTTAACTTCTGGGAGTAGCTTGGACTGCAAAGCCTATCTCCTCAGGTGGCAAATCATAGTTTAGAAGAATCTCTTTCCTGATGTTCCTGCTAGGAAAAAAGAGGGCAAAAAATAAGGTCTGATTTTGAGTCCTGATTTGATTGGCGAATCTTTTAAGGAACTCTCAGTTGTTGGCTTTCATTAATTTAAAAAAAAAAAAAAAAAAAAAAGGAAGTAAAATACAAAATGTCTTATGCTCTATTCACAGTGTACAGTACAATTTTATTCATCACTTTACTTTCTTTCCCTTAGCTCAGCCATTCTCTCTATTGTCATGTGACAGACATTTTATTTCAGTTTTATAAGACGTACATAAGAACGAGAGAAATAGCGCAAACTCCATCTTCCATTGCTGTCTCTTTCTCCAGTGGTGATAAATAGCAGAGATACCAAAGAGAAAAAAAATATACATTTTAATTCTTTTGTGTGTGGTATTTCCTTCACACATAATCACGTTAATTTTAACTGAACCAGCAAAACTCACAATGTATAAGCTTCACTGTTTTTTTTGGTACGTTATGAATCCTAAATTATGAAATGGATTTTTTAACCTGGGATATGCTTACTGGAAGCAGTATGCCAAAGATCTACAACACAAGGCAGTTGTCAGACAAATTAAATAAAAGCAAGATTTCCTAAACTCTTCTATAAAGCTGTGAGTCATGAATTCTGAATTACCTCAGAGTGGTAAATAAATAATCACTACTAAATACAGATAATGTGTTAAACAGCTAAAGCTAGTAAATCACTAGTGACAGAGAGCCTTAAGGTAAATTCTTCTTACATTGGCACAGCCCTTTCTCAAAATATTGTGGGTTTATGTCTTCAGACATATACAATGAATTGTACAATTGGTTACTCAGTGTTAAAATCATTTATAAAATACACAAATCTCTATCACTTGACTGCATTTACATACTGGCTTAGATTTTGCTGAATAATGGATCTCACTGGCAGAGCTAAAGACTTGGTGCACAGACACTGAAGTGATGAGCACCACAGAAATACGTATAAAAGACTGATCAAATGATAGGAAATCCTCTCCACTATGGAATTTCAAGCTATCAAGCTATCAAGCAAAATCAATCTCGGGTCTCCTGGCCAAAAAGAAAAAAATATATATAACACAGACAACACCACATTTTAGTTACATAAATTGTCCAAAACATGGAGAGTAGCTTGATAAAACATGTACAAGATCCTTTGTTTACATGTAATTGTAAACTTCTTCTAACAGCAGGAGCTAAGAGCAAACTTTCAGAATGTGTGTTTCCAACAACCAAAGACAATTCATTGTAGGACCGACTAATTAAAATCACCCTTTAACAGCAATGCCAACATGAAAATGTAGCTGTTATTCCTTGAACTGATGAAAAGTATGGTTTTGTGAGATTTGAGATTGCCAACCTAAATTAAATAACCTCTTTTATTTGTGTTTGTATAGTAGAGTTTAAATTTAATATAACCCAGACACTATATTTAAAAAATGTGCCATAGAGCATCCAAGAGTATCTGAGGCATGTAAGGACAGACCCTGAGCTAAACATTTTTTTTTCTTTTTTTTTCTTTTTCTTTTTCTTTTTCTTTTTCTTTTTCTTTTTCTTTTTCTTTTTCTTTTTCTTTTTCTTTTTCTTCTTTTTCTTTTATGTTATTTTATTTTGAATGCAGGTTGTCTTTTTTCAACTTCCATCTGAAGGTAATTTTGAAATTTTCAAATGCAATAAAATTACCCTTAGAAAAATTATTTGAAAAGTTGAAACTCTTTCCAAGTTATTCTGCAAATATTTTTTGGAACAAATGAAAACAAAACTAAAACTTCCCCCTCACCCCCCACCCCCCAGATAAACCATGTATAACTAGAACTACAGTAATCAATGGCATAATCTAAAGAATCAGAAAAAATACTGTTTATGGCTTGACATGTTTTGGCACTGACATGTTTGCAGCTCTCTCAACTTATTAGCAAAACTTTAAAAAGGGTGTCATCTCTTAAGAAGTCAATAAAATATCCTACATTAAATAGACTATCTGCATGTGTTTGGGAAAGCAAAACAGAACAAAACAAACAAGGAGGTTCCAGGTGTGGGTTTGAGTGTAATTTTTGTTATTAAATATGTGTTTGCATGTTTAGCTTCTACAAGGACTTGCACATAACCATGACTGATGGATGTATTTGTAGGCCATTCAGTTAGCTCCATCAGCTCACTCAAACACATTTTGAACAGATTATGTACTGCAGTACTTTGTAGACCATACATTAAACAAGAGACTTTGCTCTGAGGCACTGCTTCCCACAATCCATGGGGAAAAGGAAGCAGGAAAAAACAAAACTCATAGAGTTCGACAGCTACTGAGGCAACACTTGCCATTTACAATATAAGCCCAAATATTTTTGCAACACAACTATATATTAATTTAATAAAATACACAATATAGCTCTTATACACTCAACAATTTGGCTCATATGCACTGAATCTGCAATAAATCAATAAAAATATGTCATTTGATGTAAACACACTGAATCTTCTTACATTTGCACATATAAATGATCATGTGATTTGTGTGGATGTCTAAGACATTTTCACTTTCCTGAGCTATTTTAGTGTCCACAAATGAATATAAAAGTGTTAATAATGTTAATTTCTTTTGCGCATTATTACCATGAAAGGTAACTATTTTTTTTTCAAAACTTATTTCTCCCTTTTTTTTTTCTTTTAAACTTATCACTAACTATAGTTTTGTTGGACACTAAAATGCTAAATAGATATTAAAATCTTTTTTTTTTTTTCTTTTTTTATCAAGTGAATTATCTTATGTGTGTGCAGGACAAGATGGACTATATCATTTTACATTTAACCTTAATGTGATATGAAGTGTTTTACTAATGATCAGGATATGTTTTGTTGAGTAATGAATTGGAATGGTGGGTTTTTGTTTGTTTTCTTGTTCCTTCTTTTTTTTTCTTTCTTTTTTTTTTTTTTTCTTTTCTCATATTTGTGGCAGATAACTTTGTACATAAATGTTTACCACAAATGAATGTTAATGTTCGGTGTCACTTGGACTACTACAAGAACTCTTTTTAGGACTTTCAGTAGAAGCCTGCGGTCACTGCTGGAAATTCACCACAGATCAGCAGAAATATTCAACCCTGTTTTTCTTGGGGTTTATACGTAAACAGTAAAGTCAGCATCAGCTATTGAGGACAGTCTCAAAGTATCAGATGTATTTCCATTCCACCTTTCTCACACCTTCCTATCAGATTGTCAAAATGGCACCATCTTTCCTTCATTCATATAGTTCTTAGTGTACTTGACTCTGTCCTAATGAAAGTTTGGTCAAAATGAAACCAGTGTTATCTGTCAAAAAGAAAGAGCAGTGAAAAGAACATACTTGTGGGCACTTCAGATGTTCACTAAAAGCCTTAAAGCAGCATTGGTCTTCCTTCATTCTTGTAAATCTGTTACAGCCAGGGGATTTTATGATTTATTTATTTATTTTTGATTGTTTTGTTTTTAATCAGCAGAAGAGGAATGTAACTGCCAGCCTGTCCTTATTTTCCCCTCACTTTCTGACAGCCACAGGGTCGCTTCCCCGACAGTCCTGCAAGAGCTTGTCTATTTCTCTGACAACTTCCTCGGCATCCACCGACTCCCTGCCTAGATCCCGGGCTGAACGGTCTAACTGCTCCAGAACAGAGTCCATCTCACTTGAGTCTCGGCTTACTCGGGAATGCACATCTGCAAATGCCCTAGCCATCTGATCTGATGCAATGAAGGGAGCGTCTTTTGACTGTTTACTAGGCGATAGATACTGACTGTCAGTTGACAAGTATTGGCTGTTTGGTTCAGCCAAGGCTCCTGATTTCACTTCACAGCCATCCAGAGGTCCTTTTGTTGAGGTGCAAGGCTCAATGCATGTCTTGGTTGGGCTGCTCGATGCTGAGGGAACCTCCTGAAGCAGAGGACTCAGGGCACGTTTGGCTTTTAAATAAGGTTTAACATTGGCAATGAGAATAGTGTGCTCTCTCTTGTCTTTCCCAAATGTACAAAAAGTCTTTTTCCCAGTGGGATTCACAGTTTCATAAGTCTCAGTCTCAACATTAGCTTCAACTGTGGGTACAAAGAGATTTGTGCGATAATCTGCATTCTCAGCCTGGCTGGCTGCAGGGAACTGTGGCATCCAACACCTGTCAGAATGACCAAGCACTCTGCATTCATCTGTGCAGTTAACACATTCTTCTTGCTCTGCAAAACAAAGAAGAAAGAGAAAAAACTCTAGTTATAAGTGGTTTTCTTTAAATTAAAGGAGAGTCTATGATCAACTTGTGATGGACTTACTTGACATCTGGTTTCTTAATTATGGAGAAAAAGAAAAGCTGTAATTAAAATATTTCAGAAGGATTGCATAGACTGACTAGTTGAGACAATAGATTTATTTAATGCTATTCTCTAGGTATTAAAGCATTCACACAGCCCAATGGAAGCAAAAAGGGGTCATTAGAGAATCATTCTCAGTGGAATTGAGCTTCATCTGTAAACTAATCTGCTGTAGAAATCTGTTAGGCTTTGTTCTGTAAAACTCATCCTAGAAAATAGCGAACAGTACTTAAGGAACTCAAAAGGCATTATCAGGATTAATTTTTCAAATCAAATAACTGAGCAATGACTGCCTTTCTGGAAATACAAACACTTCATACAAATCAGCAAGCTAGCTTTTCATTTTGTCACCTCCATTTCTTTTGTAATTGTTATGTTGTACGACAGTCATGAAATAAAAATGTTTTGTTAAAGAGCCTACTTTTCCTGCTGAGAACAGAGAACTAAAATTTTCCACCAGTATGCATTAAATATAAGTTTGTCAAAAAGTGTGTATTGCAATTTTATTAGGCATGAGTATGGATCATGTAATCAGCTTTCCCGTTTTTTTGGTTTGGTGCAATAACTGAAAATGTGTTTCCTCAATACGTACAGTTTGAAAGAATGACAAACCATGACATGATATTTGAACTGATAATGTTATCAGGATTTCTACAGTCTTATTTCTTTCAAAAATATATATATTTAAATAATATATATATATTGTTCACTACAGTCTTAGAACATAAATTTTAATAGTTCTTAGTTTGTCTGTTATTTTGCACTAAGAGAATATATTTGGGTTACCCTTCACCATTTTAAAATTCTTTACATGACTATCCTAATTTCAGGAAGCAATAAAATTCCAGAAGTGCCCTTTAAATGATTTTTATTTTTATTTTTTCAAGAATGCAAACCTGTGATGCAAGATACTTTTTCTTCCTTTAATTTCACAGTACTCTTCAGTCAATACTGACAAAATTAATCCTTTTACCATCTCTAGGTTTTGATCAGAATTTTGAATCTGATTTTTAACTATTAAGTATTTTCAGCCACAAAATGGAAAAATGTGTTTCAAATTTGATTTGAGGAATTCAGTATGTACTAAATGCCTGGAGTTTAGGCTGGCAAAAAAAAAAAAAAAAAAAAAAAAAAACTGTAAATATGTATTTATATGTAAGGATGTATCACGCACACACATGTACAACAGATCTTAAAAAAATATATATATAAAAAAAAAGAGCAAACTTGTTGACCTGAAGATAGGGTAAATTTTAAATTAAAAAATAAATTCCTTGTAATCTTATGATGTCTGTAAATAACCGCCAGATTCATGGACAGCTGCACTGTAAAAACCTAACACAGAAAAAACACATCTTCTGTGAGTCCAATAGACATGAATATAATGTGACTTAAATTTATCCAAAATTGTGTTATGTCACAATGATCAGTTAAATCAAAATGAGATAATTTACTCAGATTTTTTTTATTATTATTATTAATGATGAAATCCTATGAAAGAGTGTTATTCTGTATACATGCTCCCTTCCTTGAAAAGTTTAATATCTAATAAATAAATAAATAAATAACAAAAGCAAGTAAGAATGATGAGGAGGACACAGAGTGATTTTTGAGGAAGAGAATGTTAAGCCATAGGCTTAAAAGATAAAAAAATTAGGGGACCTCCAAGGAAAAGTAAACTGTATTCTGGTTCTAGTGTAGAATACAAATTAGAGTAATCATAATGAAAAGCAAGAGTAAAATGTATCCCCAATTTTGAGACTATAGTACACTGACAGAACTGGGAAAAATTCTGATTTCACTTCACTTGAACAAAATGGAATGGACATATATGCCCACCCATAGGCAGAACATGTGGGAAAACTGTTTAATGAAAAATATAGTCATACATTTAATACATAAAAATAACATATACCTTATTCCAACCATTAGTTCACTTCCACTAAGGTTTTCTGTATCTAGTTTTCCAGAGCTTCTACAGCTTCAAAGCTCTGCAGTGTAAAGCTACCAAGAGGAAGGAAGGAAGGAAGGAAGGAAGGAAGGAAGGAAGGAAGGAGGAAGGAAGGAAGGAAGGAAAGAAAGGGAGAAAGGAGGAGAAAGAGATGAAGCGAGAAGATAAGGAAAGTAGAAAAGAAAGAACGAAGAAGCAAGAAAAGTTGAGAAAGAAAAGAGATAATATCGAAGAAATACGCGCCCCATCGCTCCGAAAAGAAAGAAAGGAGGAGAGAAAAGGTCCAGGAAAGAGAGGAAGAGAGCTCCCTCTTCTCTCCCCTCTCTCCCTCCTTCTCCCTCCCCCCTCTCTTCCGTCTATCCCTCTCCCTAAGGAGGAAAGAAAGGAAAGAAAGAGAAAAGAGAGAAGAAGGAGAAAGAGGAGAATTGGAAATAAAAAAAAAAAGTGCCAAGGCAAACCAAACTTTCTAAAGCAATTTGGGAATTTTAGACTTTGCAAATGCTTTCTCTAAGTTGATTTTGATAATTTTTCTTTTCCTCCTACAAATCCTAGAGTGGATTTGTGGTAAACTTACCCACTGGCTTAAAAAGTGTAACGTAATGAAAAAGTGTAAAGTAATGAGAAATAATAGTTGCTTCATTCAGGATTTTCTCTAACATATATCTAAAATGATTTTCTTCTTATATGGTATGCATGACAATGCTGAATAAAAGTCTGCGGGCATTTATGAAGGTTTTCCTAAGCAAGTAATAGATTTGCCAACAATTTTTAGTTTTTATTTTTTGGAAACAACTATAATTTATACTTCTTTTTTTTTTTTTTTTTCATATAATTTTGGTATCTTTTTAGCAAAAGACAAAAATTTAAAATAAAATTTAAAAAAAAAAAAGGAAAATAGCTCCCATATTTAATATGTTGAAAGGTCACAGTTTATTAGAAGAGAATCAGAAGATCTGAAGAAGGGAAGCTTTTTCAGTCTTTCAGGTACAAGCTTTGTGTCATAGCGTCTGAAAATTAACTTACATAACTTCCTGCTATCAACATTAAATATATATATAAGTATACACAGCTGGATAATTTATGTAATAGGAGATTCCATTTTAAAACTTTCTCTTAATCTAAAAATTGACTGTACATTATTAACAAAATAATTCCCTGAACTGATTCATTTGTTGAAATTAATAAACTTAAGATGAAAGGTAAAGATCAGAGAATTTCTCAGCCACTGGAAATATTTTAACTATGCTAGGTACTCAGTACTGTGCCAAAAACTATGCTTTGAGATTTTCAAAATTGTTAGGTTAATTTTGTCACCAAGTTGTGTTCTAAGATTTGAATTTGCTAGCTCATTTGCCTACTCATACACTGTGTATGAGGATAACTTGTACAGTATTTGCATTGTTCACTCACATCAATAAAAATATAAAGTTTGCTGGCAAGCTCTGTAAGTAAAAGAGATATATGCTGTACAGCTTATATATCATATATATTGGCTGTAACATCTTCCTTCCCCTTCCCATTTCCTGCATTTGCTAAAGCAGTTTTTATACTTGCATTCATACTTGCAATATTGACTAACTTTCCATTTCTGCTCCCCGGGCATCTTAGCAGTGAGTGAATTAAATATGAAGTCAAAAAAGAAGGCAGTTTTGTGAAGAAACAAATCCCGAATGACCTTGAAGTGAAAACCACCTGCACTGCATGAGTTTTGATATTCTAGTTTTGAAAATCTGTCTTTTCACTTCACTTTTTTTGTGTCACATCATGGGAAATGGATTTCAAGTATTGATTATCATGCATAATAAGTTGCTCATCTCACCATTAGCCTGTAATTTTGCCTGTTACAGCTAGCAGGCAGTGAAGAAAATCGAACAGGCCCCTTTGTATTAGCAGCAGAAACTATAAACATGAAGTGAACTATCACCAAGGACCAAATTAGTACCTATGAGAAAACAGAATCAATTTAATGGTATATATATACATATATATATGTAAAATAGGTCAAACACTGTTTTGTACAGCAAGATGTGCTGGTAGAGTGATATGCACCATTGGTCTTTACCTTGTTTCCCTCTTGTTGAAAATAAGCTCTTAACAGTGCAAGTGTGTACAATAAACAGAAGCAGCCTAGAGGTTTTCCAAACTCTCTAGAGCTTTAAGGCTAAACAATCAGAAGTGCTTTATGCACTTCAGGGAGAACACACACAAAAATAGAACTGCTAAATTGTCAGCCATCGAAATAAAAGGAAAGAAGCTAACTGGAAACAACAGACACCTATATAGCAAACTTTTACTGGACAGAAATTTGAGATGGTTTACAAAGAAAGTTATGTTGAAAAAATATGAATTGCAGTGCAAGATATGTCTTTTGGTGTAACCTTAGACATACCTTGCATATTTTATTCTAAATTACCAGAGAAGCTGGTATTTAACAGCTGTTTTCTGTAGCAAGTTTAAAGCAAAAGATGCTTTTATTGCACTACTTTTAATTTCCTACCCTTTCCTCATAAATATTATGAGTACGCTTAAAAGGAGGTACTTGCTTTCACCATAAATATATTTCACTATACGTTTAACTAATTAATTAATGCTTTAGATATCTGGCTCCCTTCAATAGCTAAAACTGTGATATCACAGCTTAATTCATTAATTATACACAATTTTCATAATGGTGACAAAAAGGATTTTTTTTTCTTAAAATAAATTAAAATAAAAAGCAGTGACTCAGCATAATCAGTGTTCATAAATTCATTTTTTTCCAGTTTAATTGGAGCCTAATTATTTAAATTACACATACACAGGAAGCTACAAAGCAAATCAAAAGTAAACAATACATGTACAACCTCAGCATTTAAATACTTCTATGAAATATTTCACGTGCTATGTTTTTAACATGAAGAACACTGTAATTTGTATGAAAGTACTATATATAATGTACTAATAAGTGTTCAAGTATTTGTGTATAGTGAAAATCAGATTTTAAATATATGTGTGTGTATACATCCCATACATGTAAGCTTGGACATATACACACACATGCACATATATATACATATATATAATCATATTCCACCCTAAACCTGTAAATGTTTTTATCAAATTATGTTAGAAGTGAAGCAAAGTAGACAATTTGACACTTAATTTATAAAATATGACTTGTTAAATGGTCATTTAAGTGCATTCTTTTCTAAGAACTTGTTACAAAATGTAATATATATATATAGTTTTATATTAACATATGCTCATCAAAGGAGGATAAATAAAAATATGACCAAATAAATGCACAAATAATACTGAATATTTTCAAATGACAGTAGCCTTTGTTGTATTTGACTGTCCCAGGAAATGCTACTTAATCTTCTTGTCTTACCCATTAACTCCTTTTTTCTCTATCAAAAGTTGACACCTAGTTTCTACTATCACATGAACATCTCCTAATAGACTTTCATTTTTTTCCCCTTATATAAATATGGAAGCTAAAAAATAAGCAAGGATGGCTCACTCACACATTTCAAGGACTAACAGCTCCAAATGAAAAACACAGGAGAGGACTGATCCCAAAAAGTGCATCTTCTTTTTGAAGCATGCAGTTTCACATTGATGATGCTATTCACCTTCACTCTTGCAATGTTCTATCCTTTATTACTTTACAGAATAAGCAGTAATTCAGGTATTTCTGGCCTTTGTTTCACATTACAAAGAAAAGGATTAACCTTTGAATGCATGCATGGAGTTCACACTGATTCCCTATGAGACAGACTTATTTTACCCTTAATTTTGTGAATTTGTGTTCATTACTGAAAACATTTCCATTTAGAATTCAATCAATAATGAACCAAGGTATAAAATTATCTGTAGTGCATATTCCTCTGGTCTGATGACAGGCATACTATGGGTGTGCATTGTGGAGGGGCTGGAGGCAGGGTTTGGGGGAGGGGTAGTATATGCTTTAGACTAATAAAGTACAATTTATATATTTTAATACCATGAAATAGATATGGAAGGTCTGTATTTTCTGTAAACATGTGTAAACAAATGGACAATAAATTATATCTGACATCCAAAGGAGAATATAAATAACTCTGATCTCATAATTTCAGTAATACCTGTAATATACCTGAAAATCTTCTTTTGATTTCAGACAGACAATTGCCTTTACTAAAGTGAAAGGACTGTAAGTAGGTATTTATTACAGGATGGAAATAAATGGGCTTCTTTGACATGGCCTAAAGACTAGGGGTATATGACACTTCTGATGAGAACAACCAGCTAAAGTACTACTTCTGTGGTTAGATTCCTGCTTAATTACAATTGATTTTGACATAAACGAGCAGAGGTAAACAAATACTTCCATACACATGCTTACTGTTATTAAGCAGAACTGTCTCCAATCTGAGTATTTTTATTGGCTGGTCTGTTTAAAGGCTCCTTTCAGTTAGGCAAAGCAATTATGTAGCTCAGATTAGCAAAATGACTGGCAGTAAAATAAGAACGGGTTGCCACTTTGTAAACCTCTTGGATCGTGCAGTCTTTTCCTGATATTATAACTAAAGCATTTATGCCCATAATCCTTATAATTTTCCTCTGTTTTTTTTGTTGTTGTTGTTTGTGTTGTCATTGTGTTTTGTTTTGTTTTGTTTTGTTTTGTTTTGTTTTGTTTGCTTGCTTGCTTGTTTTTTGAACAGAGGATAAATATATTTCTAATATTGGCATAACATAAAACACTTTAAAAACAATAAAAAACAGGTGGGTGTATGGCTTTAATTCTAGCTCACAGTTGTCCCAGACTATAAATATTAGAGAAATATTGCAGGATTACAATAAGCACTATAGAATATTTAACATTTTATTTTATGGAAATGTGCCTTAAATTCATATTTACAATTTAATGACAATCATATATTTTTACTTAAAGACAGCATAACAGCAAGAAAATATTTCTGTTACCTGAAAATTTTCCATCCTCACAGCGGGCTGGTCCACAGATCCCAACAATGGGTCTTTGGCCTCTGCCTTGCTGTTCTGGAGGCAAATCAAACCTGTGAGTCACAGACAGGGATAGGCTCTGCTTCCAAAATTCCCAATAATGTCAAAACTTCCAAAGCAGAAAAACAGCTTTCATCTGTGTTTTGGACATAGCTCATGGTCCTTGACACTTCTTGCTATCGTTCTCAAAAGTGACTGTACAAACACGGTCATTTATAGTTGATAGTGAAGTGAAAGTGTATTCCAGCCCCATGCACTGAGACGGCAAATGCAAGGGACACTTCTCCCCAACAAACCCCAACAGACCTAATGGGAGAGGAGCTACCTTAGAAACTAACATTTATTTTCTATTGCACCTTGACAAAAGCACATAGAAGAAAGGTGAGGGGGTGCTTCATTATCTGCTTTCCTATCAGTCTGGGGCAGCAGAGAAAAAACAGTGCCTATCTGAATAATAATTTCTTCCCACTAGAGGAGAAATCTTCGGAAACCCAGCTTTGTTTTCCAAAGTTTGCCTGCAAGTCAGACTGGCACCTATTCTAATTTGCAGTAAAATTACGATATGACAGCCATGAAAAAATATTTTGGCCTCTTCCCCATCCCACCATAAAAAACTCTTCCTAGCCCAGTACTGTAGGCAGGAATGTACAAAGGCTAGCTATGCCAGCTCTGCACTTAGTAGAGAAGCTACAAGGAGACTTTAGTGACCTGACAAATTCACAGTTTTAAACAGTAAATCTTTGTTGTAGAGCCCAAAAGCTGTTTCCTGGAAAAGAAGAGAAACAAAACTGCAGTGATTAACAGAAGAGAATAGGTTTGAGGATCTGGTAGAAAGAATATTTTTAGTATAACACATTTTCTTATTCTTGATCAAGACAGTTCCACAGATTTGATATTGGGATTTTTTCAGTGCTGACACATAAACTGGAATAACTCATAACTGAAACCTAGCTGAATTTGTGCAATCCTTAGCAGAATTTGCATGATATTAAAATAAATAAATAAATAAATAAATTGCTAACTTTATTGTGAGCTAGTCATATTGTAATATCTATAATTTCCATATCTAATTTGTAATACTTAGTAAATGTTAAACACTGTATATTGTACTGCAGCAATGTTTAGGAATCCAATCATTAAGCAGCCCCATTATGCTGTGTCCTATACAAATAATAATAGACTGTACAGTTAGAGACAAGTGATTATGACAAACAAAAGCAATGAATGGGAAGGAAAGACAACATTAATGAAAAAATAATCATGCTGTTGACATTTCCTGAAAATACCAATATAAAAACTCCATAATTTAAAGAAGCTATCCCCATCTGTCACAGCATCAAGCCATCAATGATTAGCTATATATTATACTACTGAACCTTCTTCATCAGTTGCCAATTATCTCAGTATACAGATCTTTAATTAGAAGGAACTAATCTTTTTGCTTTGTAAGCTTGTCTCAAATTTGGATATGACAACTTGTTTACAGACGTTGACTGATGAGGGTGCCACTGTGTAGAGAAACAGGTTTCTGAAGAAATCTATTTCTACATCTTCTGATAGCTCTATTTACATCCTGACTATAGGTAGGTTCTCTTGAATGGAAGTGTATCATTCTGTGTAGGAGGAGGATTTTGTTCAATACAGAATCAACACATTAAAGCTTTTCAGATACTATCTGTTTTCCTTTGCAAAATTTCACACACAAACAACAACAACAAAAATTAGCAACACCACAGATGTTGAACCATTCAAAAATCTGGCTACTTTGGTGAAAAAGAATACAGCTTTCCCCACATTCCTGCCAGCATGTCTGGATTTACATTTAAAATCTCCTTTACGAGACATAATAAGACCATGTCTGCTTTATACTGATAGATAGAAAAACCCACTGGGTATCATTCTCTGCTTCAAAAGGTTGATATTGTATAAGGGTCATACACTTGGGCTTCATGGGAGGTGAAATGCATCTGACAGAATAGGAAGAAGAACACTTTCCTTGATGTTTCTCCTTAAGGAAATCTCATTTGGACATACAGACACAGAAATGTCTTGCTAGGAAAAAAGAAATGATTTACCGGTTTCATATGGAGTCTCCGTTATGGCATGATAAGTAGCATATTCATTATTGTTTGATTAGATGGTGCCCTAGACTATTTTTCAGCAGATTGCTGGTGTTGTGTTTTATTACCACCTTCAAAAGAGGTCTCCAGAATGGGGTTAACCTTATGCCAATTTATGAAACACCCTCACTCTTTTACGAATTTGAGTTTCATAATGCTATCTTACTTAGGTTTCTGCCTGAATGATGCTCTAATTACATCAATCAGAAAGAATAATGAATGATGCGTTTTCAAAATCTGACTCTCTAAAAATAACTAGTTTGGCAAAGAGGATTGTACATGTAAACAGATTAAATATCGTATTTCCAGGTTCTTCATGGACTGTAAATGAATCTCTGAAAGACACTCAAGATGATTTCAGAGTATTCGTGTCTTCATTTCCACAGATCCTTCATCAAAAACCCTAATCTATATCACTTTCTTCTCTTTCCAGGATCAAGACTATATATATAAACAACAAGAATACAGAAAATCTCTCTTGCAAGTTACTTTTATTTGCAGTAACTGAGCTGCTCAACAGAGTCACATTTTTCTTTGTCACCTTTTCATTTGTTATAGCTTAATCTGTAGTGCTGATGTCAGAGGACTCTGATGTGACCAAACATACCATTAAGAAAAAATTGATAATTTGGGGTCTATGTCCAAGGATGTTGTCATTATGTGTTCATTTTTTTTTTTCACTACTATGTTCACTTTTTTTAGCCTGTTAATTGTTAGAAGCTCTTTTTCTGGTCTCTAGAAATCCCTCATCTGAGTCATATTTCTACAAGAAATGTGTTTTAGTTCTAGAAATAGACTTAAAGGCCAGGTACAAAAAATGCCACCAAGAAAAATGCAATCAGGGTCTTAGCTTTGCCCTCAAATTATGTGTCTAAATATCCTTCAAAGAAAATTCAACAGTGAGGCATTATATGACTTAAATATTGTTCTGGCAAAACAAGTAAAAGTTGAAGCTGATACCTTTAAAACTGCTGAAGGGTTCAGAACATGTCAGTCAGTGTCTATCTGTAGACTTCCTTTAAAAAAGTCCTTACCCTGGAGAGATGATGAAGATGCTACACCCCTAGAAATGTGGTGGACGTGCTATAAAATGTTGCCAAACCCATTGTAGAGATGGAAACATGAGCAACATTTTATTTATTTTATTTTATTCTATTTATAGAAAACCCAGAGGCCGGTTTTGAAAAGCCTTACGGTAGATAAAAGGGTCCATTTATATCCTCCTTTCATTATCTGTGATACTAAGATTTCAGGCCAAAAGTATCTGTAGTAGTCTCTTGTCTTTTCTTTCCAAGACAACAAAAAGGCTAAGAGGTGGGGCACCCATTAAAGTAAAGTCATGGTGGAAAGCATGTATGAAACTGTAAATGAAGTAAATATTATAGTGATGGATTCCAGTAATTGTAAAGGTGTCTTTATAAAGACCTTGCACAAATTCTGCAAGTAGTTAAGGTATAAAAAAAATATCTTATGTGAAGAAAAAAATCAACCATTTTTTTTTCTTTTTCTTTAGTTAATGTTACATCATGCACATGGTGCATATCCTGCTGCTTAGGTATCTAAGAAGCAGTTTAGCAGAGCTCTAAACTTATTTGTAAGCTCTCAAGTGACTCTGCAGTTGTAGCTGAAGATGGATACAAGGCAGCTAATTTGCTACCACCAAGGGAAAATGTTATAACATAAAAACATTCCCTCCCTTAGCTTCAAAACTGTTGAGTGCCTAGGGAGCTCAACTGTTTGTAGAGTTGATACTATGCATATGCTTCCTCTGTAACTGTTACATGCATACATCTGGCATCTGTCTCTGTGTTAAACAGTCTTAATTGTCCCTAGTATTACTATGTAGAAAACCTCTAACCTAGATGATTAATGTGAAAGAAATGAAAAGAGATTTGTGTTTTGTAGAACTATTTTTGCATTATTGACAATATATGCAAAGAGCTCTGCACTATGGCTATCAAGAAAATAATTTAGCTCTTCTTTCTGAATATTTTAAACAGAAATTGTGCTCTTTTCTTAGAATGACATTTGACACTTTGTACAGCCTCTTAATCATATAGGGTTGTTTCCTCTATATATGTTTTAGCTGGTATTCCTTTTTCTATTTATTCTCTCTCTTTTTAAAAACTTTTTTGATTGTTGCTCTTCATTCTTTTATTCACACATCATATCTTCAAAGCACCCAGTTATAGCCAGATCAATGACCAATTCTGAAGATTTTTTTTTTTAGATGATATTAGGAGGACTCTAAATCCTAGTACATTATTCAGCTCACTGTTGCCAGCAAAGTCAAACTCAGGCAAAGCACTTGATTTCAGTTTTCAATATATTTTGAAGAGATCAAAGAGCATAGAAAATCCTATTCTTTGGTTAGGCAGACCATGCAGAACAGTACTAATCTAAAAGATGGAGGTAGCTGCACAGAATGAACACTAAACTGAAGACTTTTTGAAGTTATTTTAGCCTTTGTGTCAATATTCACCCCAAAACCCCACAGCAAAATGTTGGTTTTTTTTTGTTTGGTTGTTTTGTTTTGTTTTCCTTCTAATTGGGAAAACAGAAATTAATTCTTAAAAAAAAAAAAAAAAAAAGTTTAAAAGAACTGGTAATTTGACATCTGACATATCACCCATGGTAACAAAATATCACAGAATCACAGAATTTCTAGGTTGAAAGAGACCTCAAGATCATCGAGTCCAACCTCTGACCTAACACTAACAGTCCTCCACTAAACCATATCCCTAAGCGTTTTTTAAAGACCTCCAGGAATGGTGACTCCACCACTTCCCTGGGCAGCCCGTTCCAATGTCTAACAACCCTTTCGGGAAAGAAGTTCTCCCTAACATCCAACCTAAAACTCCCCTGGTGCAACTTTAGCCCATTCCCCCTTGTCCTGTCACCAGGCATGTGGGAGAC